CAATGTAAACGATTTGAGGTACTATAACATTAACAAAAAGAAAAAATTTACTTACTTTTCGGTCGCTAAACAAAATGGCTGTTTCAAACACTTTTTCGCCTTTTATTCGTGTGTATTGTATTTTTTTAAATTTCTTTAAAATATGATACTTTTTACCATAAAGGCGTTAAATTAATTATTTGAAGTATTATAACTACGTATAAATGTTGATTTTTTAATCCAATTTATACGTTTTTAAAATGCGACTACAAAATTTTACTAACAATTCACTAAACAATCAAACACTCGGCTTAAAAATCGCGTTAAAACTAATTGCTTTGTCCTTTTTGTTTTTGTCATTCTATTTTGTTAGGCAAATTTAACAACAACAAAATCTCAGTAACGGTACTTAAGGAAATTTTTAAAGGAGTTTTTTTTTAATATTATAGGATTTTATTTAATCCCTTTTTAAAAAAACTCGTTTTAAAATTTTTCATAATTGTTTTATTGCAATTCAATTGCGTAATTAAGTACCGCGTAATGAGTACTCCATTGCCTTGTTTATGAACTAATCTATTGGCTCCATAGACTATTCTATTGATCAGTCTATGGACTGGTTTATGACATAGTCTATTCACCAGTCTGTGGACTAGTTACTAAACTTATGCTCTAGTCTAAGAAATAGTTTATTAATTAGTATATGGCCTAGTCTATTGTCTAGTATATGAGCTGGTCTTTTGACTAGACTATAGACTAACTAACAAAAAGTCGACTTTTCAAATCTCCGACTTTTAGCAATTTATTAAAATTTGGTTTTAAAACTTTTAACACTTTTTATTATCGGCTTTTCTGACATTTCTATTATTTGATAACGTCCCATTATAGCTACATATTCGGTTCGGTATACAGCCCATTTCCGTCTCTAATTTTTAGTGACCCTTTCTAACCTTCTGTATTTTATATTTAACTGTAGTACAGTTTTGATTCATTATTCAGTTCACTTATGTCCATAACTTTGATTTGTACTGTATAGAGTTCAATTATAGTTCTTATAGCTTCAACCCATTTCTAGGATTAGTTGTTTTCAATTCTGTACTCTCCATAGGTCTGATTCTTGCTCCAGTTGAAGTTTTGTAGTCCAATTGTACTTCCTTAGTCGGTTCAAGTTTAGCTTTAAATCTGCTTGGATACTATATAGTCTATATGCCCAATTCTAGCCTTAATTGTGGTAGTTTATGCAGTCGAATTCTAACATTTAAATTTGGTACTTTTCATAGTACAATTCTAGTTCTATATTGAATTACATTTGAAATAGTTCTTTATACAATTACTTTATACCCATTACTTTATACAGTACATTACTTATTTTACCTGCGGCTTTTTGTATTGTGGTCCTAAAATGGTCCAATTTTGGCCTTAACTCTGGTATTATATTTACTTCAATTCTAGCTAGAAATGTAATTCTTTATTCAGTATATTTTTGCTTCAATTCTGGTTCCTTTTACAGTTAAATTTTAGTCTTGTTTTTGATACTTTATATAGTCCATTTCTTGTTGCTATTACAGTTCAATATTCTGTTTAATTTAAGCTGCAATTAGTGTCAAATTTTTCAAATTTAAAAGAATCTAGCGCCTTTTATTGAAGTATTGAACATTTTCTAACCTTTAACCTTTTCTAATCCCCTTTTAAAAACTACGCTTCTCTCAAAAAAGATCAGTAGACAAATATGGAAACTTAAACTAATGGTTTATCGAACTGAAAAACCTTCTTTAAGCAATTAAAGTTTTACTGTCTGTCTGACAGTCTGACTACCTGCATAAAACGGTACCTTTTTAAATTACACTAACACACACACCGACCAGCTAATCTGCGCCATAAAACAGACATTAAATCGGTCACAGAAATCTAAATAAAATTCCAGAAATTTAATTATTAAAACAAATGTAAAACATTTTACAAAATGGTAAAACAAAATGTAATTTGAGCTGTAAATTATTGTAATGGAAAAGAATTACAAAAATCGTAGGCGTCGGCGAAAATTACTTTGAACCCGAAATAAATAAACCAAAGATGATTAAAGAAATACCTTGAAATAGAAGCAAACATCTTTAAGAAATTATAGGAAAAGAAAAATTGGTTTATTTTAAGAAATATTAAATAAATATTTTAAAACAAACCACAAATAGCTGAAATTTTAAAAAGAACGTGCTGTTAAGTTTTAGAGTATATTTTTGTAAGGTTTCAAAATCAAGCATAACGACCTACCTGAAGTTATAAGATTATTAGCTGGAAAAATCTATAGGAGACCTGAGCTGCATAGTTAAACAATAAAGAATTTGTCTGGGGATTTTTTATTTTTGAACAAAATTAATGTGTAAAAGATGTGTTGAACAAGACATTTGATAATTTTCTAAAGAAATTCTTTGTTTTTTCCTATTCTTTCTCTTGGCTTAAGAAAATTTTGAAAAATTTTAGTTCATTAATAAAAAGTATTGGTTTTTGGTAGGAGGGTACGTGTATGTTTACTAAAGCAGGTCATAAATTTGTTTGTTGTTTTTCCCAAACTAGACAAACTGAAAACTCAAAACCTGGCTTAAGTTGGTATTCAATATTTTCAAAATTATTCAGTAGTCCTTTACATGTTTAACACGTCAGACGCGGAAGAAATGTTTTGAAAAAAAAGAAATTTGTGAAATCACTTAAAGTGTGTTCTGTAATAAAATTAATAAAAAAAATTAAAGTGTTTTTGGGTTAAAAGGGTTTAAATTTAGTTTTTAAAAGTTTATTTATAAAAAAATGTTTAAAAAGGTAAGTAATTTAAAGAAAAAAGTGTGAATTTAAAAAAAATCAAAATAAAATATTCAAAACTTAATAGCATTTTGAAAAAAAATTTGTTTTTAATAAAATAATTATAAGAAAATTTAAAAAAATAATAATTATTCTATAATTTCTAAACAAATTTAGTATTGTTTATAAAAATCATTTGAAATTTAACATTATTCTTCCTCAATTTCTAGAAAAAACTTAAATTTTAAATTTTTAGTTAAAACTAACCTCTAGTTAAAACTAACATCTAAAAGAAACTTATTGTTTTAAACAAATTCGCTATTTTTAGCATGATTGAAAAGTAAAGTATTAATTATAAAAATGTTTTTTATAAATTTATTAAAAAAATCGAATACAAATTGTTTATTTTCTTTATTTTTATCAAATAATTTAAAATTCCAACCTAAATTACAAACTAACCTCAATTATCCAAGAGAATGTTATGTTATTTTATAATTTCCGAACCATTCTTTATTAAAAAAGCTTTATTTTCAATACAAAAATTAAAAATTTCCCACTTAACCTCAAAATCTTTTCATTTTCTAGATATTTTGTTTAATTTTGATATTAAAGTTAGCACAAGCACGTTATGGTTATGTGCCAAAATCCTATGGTCCAGATGCGGCCTTAGTGGTGGAAAAAGCTTTGGGACAAAATCACAATGTAGGTGGTAACTATCCCAATACCATACGCATGCCACCGCCATTTCCTTTATGGCGTCATTATCCCAGATATCACATTATACCACCACCACCGCCGGGGCAAATAATGGCTATAAATACTTGGGCCAAAACAACTCATACAAAACCCATATTAATGCCTACCAGCACAACCACTACTACTACCACCACCACTACCACAACACCTAAGCCCACCACTACCTCTACCACCAGCCCAACCACTACAAAATTCACTACATCCTCACCTTTTATAACAGATGATGAATTCCCCACTGAATTATTGGATATAGCACAAAATAAGTTGGGTCTTAAAAGTCTAGATGAAATACCCAGTATTTCAGAATTAGGACAACTATTGGGTACCAATAGCCCGGAAGAAACTTTAAGTTATATCAGACAATTAACCTCCAATGAACAGGGTGTAGCCTTAATGAAAGCCTATATAGAATCCACAGATTATACCGATAATTCGGAAAATTCTTATAAAAATAAAGAAAATTTAGAAGAAGAAGATGACGAGGAAGATGAGGATGATATGGGAGATATAGAAGAACCGGTGAAAATTAATGATGAAGGTTTAATAGTTATAACCGATGATGATTCTAATGGGGATTATGTCTTAAGCAATGAAAGCGAAGAGGAAACCACTAGTAAACCCACCTTAAAGCCACGTAAAACTCCCAAAATTATACAAAAACTTAAGGAATTACCCAATAACCATCCTAGTTTTATGGAACGTATAATGAATTATATGCATTTAAATAATTTGTTTCATAAAAACTCTGCAGAAACGGGAATGAACAAAGAATATCATGAACTTAATAGAATCACAGAAAATGGCAAAAAGGTTAATAACAACAAACAGAAAATAATTACCAAAGATAATCAAGAAAATCAAACAGAATCGGAAATTGTTAATAACGATTCCCCAGAAAAATCCAATTTAAAATCTGACGCTATTTTAGCAAGAGAATCTATACCCTATAATTATCCCATACCCATACGTTCGAGTTCTACAACTAGCAGCACTACTACCACAACTACTACACCATTGCCGCCCGCCGCCAATACCCAGGTGGTCCATTTAAATACTCCCAAAATGTTAATACCTCATGTTCAACAATTGTCCCGAGTCACTAAGATACCCAGCAAAAAAATTGAAGATTTTTTGGCCAGCAAACCTAAACTTTTAGAATTGGCCACTAAAGTTAGTCGTTTTCCCATAGGCTATGATCGTAATTCACCCATGGAGGCTCAAGTTATGGCAGCCGTCCAAAAGGCTATAGAACAAGATGAAGATCTTAAGAAACTTTTGAGTTCCACCGCCACCTTAAAGTAAAAAAAGTCGGCAAACAAATATTGAAGGAGTGAGATGAAGTTTTAAAGAACTTACAGACATCTTGAAGTGATAAAGCTGCTATAATTTTTAGTTTTAAGCGTAATTAATGTAATTAAGATTTAAAAAATTAGGATTTTTTTAAATAAATAATAAGATTTTTAGAAATAAAATCAAAGATAAAATAACCAAGCCACAGTTCATAGATTAGACTATAGAATAGTCTACGGATCAGACTTTAAAACAGACTATAGAGCAGACTAAAGACCAGACTATAGAACATATTATAGATCAGACTATGTACCAGATTATAGACCAGAATATAGATCTAACTATAGATTTGGCCAGACAATGAAGAAGTCTACATTTTAGGCTGTAGACAAGACTATAGTTAAGACTATAAGCTAGATGAAAGTCCAGACTATAGAACAGTCCATAAACAATAGACCAGTTTATATAACAATCTACAGATCACATTCTTAAAATTTTCAAAAATTAACAAAATCTTAATTATTTTTTTAAATTTTTTCCATCATATTTTATTTATAACAAATTAAATTCTTAAAATTTAATTACAAAATTTAGTCCTTGTTCAAAATAAAGTCCATATAGAATAAATTAACCGACTTGTAGTTAACAGGATAAAAATTTTAACAAGTCTACTTATAGTTTCTATTAAATATAAAACTTAATTTCTTCAGACAATTTTGTTTATTTTGTAATATATTTACACATAAAACTTATAAAACTAAACAAATCACTAGTAATTGAAGGTTTTTCTAACAATACAAGAGGTAATAAAAAAGTTGTATGTTAACAAAACCAAACTTAAAAAAATGAAAAACTTAAGCTGCTAAAGAAAGTTTTACACAAACTTTTAAAAAAAGTTATCTAATAAAAACCAAAATCTTTTTTTAACAGCTAGTTTCGCTTTTTTGTAGAATTAATAGATAATTTGTGGAAACATTAAGCAAAAATAGTTTGTAAAACATAAAAAACTATTAAGATTTAGAAACACCAACTAAAGCAGGTCGTATAACACGTTCGTGTAGCTTATAGCCCAATTTTGTTACCTCAATAACAGTGTCAGGTTCTACCGAAGAATCGGGCTAAAAATATTGAATAATTCATTAATAATTTAGAGAGAATGAAATGTATTTGAAACACCTACCTTTTGGAATAAAGCTTCATGCATATTAGGATTGAATTTTTCATTCAAGGGATTCATGGGTTCCAAACCATGACGCTTGAACACTTGCAACAATGAAGCATTGGTCATAGTTAAACCTTCATATAAATTCTTTAAATGAGGATTACTATCAGTCAATTGATCTTGAGGCACGGCTTTAGTAGCATGACCCAAAATGTCGGCTACTTCTAGTAAATCTTTACAGAATGATTGTATACCAAAGATTTTAGCATCGGCTATTTGTTTATTCAAACGCACTCTTAAATTTTCACTATCGGCCAGGGATCTACGATATTTGTCCATTAATTCCTCATTTTTCTCTTTTAATTCTTGGACTTCTTTGTTTAAAGTTTCAACATTCTCGGCCAATTTTTTGGCATCTTCACCATTGGCAGCAGGTGCTTGTTCTGTTTGTGCGGTTTCCTTTTCGGCGGATTTTTCATTGCTATAGCATCTGGCGGTAGCGGACCAACAGCTAAAATTTAAAAATTATCATCAATTCATTCAAGAATTTAGTAAAAATTTCATTATCATTGATTAGCTCTATGGGTTAACTTATTACGTCACATTAGGCGAAATGTTCACGTTCTTTCTTAAATTGTTTTAATCATTATCAGCAGTACGTACTGCTTTGGATCACAATTTAGTTAATTTATATTAATTTCTTTAAACTCACCTCTTCCAGGGCTTGTTGGCTACCAGGAGAGACACTAATTTTGTGTTTTGTTTGTTAATTAATTGTTTTGTGGCCATTTTCGTGTGTATTTTAATTTAAAATCTAATAAATGTACCAAATTATGTTTTTACCGCACGCACGATTCTGTTTTTTTTTTTTTCACAATATGATTTTGACACTTGTGTAATCCCATGGGAAAATTTCATGACATGAGATGTGGTATTCAACAGAGTTGTATTTCTATGAGCAGTGCACTAAGCCATGTGGCAACACTATTATGTTAAGGGGGATTTCTAAATGTTGCCATACAAGAGTATATTTTCAATTTTGAATTTGTGTTGTCATATAAAAAAACCGTTAAAAATTGTATTAATTATGAACTAACTAACTAACTAACTAACTAACTACTAACTAACTAACTAACTAACTAACTAACTAACTAACTAACTAACTAACTAACTAACTAACTAACTAACTAACTAACTAACTAACTAACTAACTAACTAACTAACTAACTAACTAACTAACTAACTAACTAACTAACTAACTAACTAACTAACTAACTACTAACTAACTAACTAACTAACTAACTAACTAACTAACTAACTAACTAACTAACTAACTAACTAACTAACTAACTAACTAACTAACTAACTAACTAACTAACTAACTAACTAACTAACTAACTAACTAACTAACTAACTAACTAACTAACTAACTAACTAACTAACTAACTAACTAACTAACTAACTAACTAACTAACTAACTAACTAACTAACTAACTAACTAACTAACTAACTAACTAACTAACTAACTAACTAACTACTAACTAACTAACTAACTAACTAACTAACTAACTAACTAACTAACTAACTAACTAACTAACTAACTAACTAACTAACTAACTAACTAACTAACTAACTAACTAACTAACTAACTAACTAACTAACTAACTAACTAACTAACTAACTAACTAACTAACTAACTAACTAACTAACTAACTAACTAACTAACTAACTAACTAACTACTAACTAACTAACTAACTAACTAACTAACTAACTAACTACTAACTAACTAACTAACTAACTAACTAACTAACTAACTAACTAACTACTAACTAACTACTAACTAACTAACTAACTAACTAACTAACTAACTAACTAACTAACTAACTAACTAACTAACTAACTAACTACTAACTAACTAACTAACTAACTAACTAACTAACTAACTAACTAACTAACTAACTAACTAACTAACTAACTAACTAACTAACTAACTAACTAACTAACTAACTAACTAACTAACTAACTAACTAACTAACTAACTAACTAACTAACTAACTAACTAACTACTAACTAACTAACTAACTAACTACTAACTAACTAACTAACTAACTAACTAACTAACTAACTAACTAACTAACTAACTACTAACTAACTAACTAACTAACTACTAACTAACTAACTAACTAACTAACTAACTAACTAACTAACTAACTAACTAACTAACTAACTAACTAACTAACTAACTAACTAACTAACTAACTAACTAACTAACTAACTAACTAACTAACTACTAACTAACTAACTAACTACTAACTAACTAACTAACTAACTAACTAACTACTAACTAACTAACTACTAACTAACTAACTAACTAACTAACTAACTAACTAACTAACTAACTAACTAACTAACTAACTAACTAACTAACTAACTAACTAACTAACTAACTAACTAACTAACTACTAACTAACTAACTAACTAACTAACTAACTAACTAACTAACTAACTAACTACTACTACTAACTACTAACTAACTAACTAACTAACTAACTAACTAACTAACTAACTAACTAACTAACTAACTAACTAACTAACTAACTAACTAACTAACTAACTAACTAACTAACTAACTAACTAACTAACTAACTAACTAACTAACTAACTAACTAACTACTAACTAACTAACTAACTAACTAACTAACTAACTAACTAACTAACTAACTAACTAACTAACTAACTAACTAACTAACTAACTAACTAACTAACTAACTAACTAACTAACTAACTAACTAACTAACTAACTAACTAACTAACTAACTAACTAACTAACTAACTAACTAACTAACTAACTAACTAACTAACTACTAACTAACTAACTAACTAACTAACTAACTAACTAACTAACTAACTAACTAACTACTAACTAACTAACTAACTAACTAACTAACTACTAACTAACTAACTAACTAACTAACTAACTAACTACTAACTAACTAACTAACTAACTAACTAACTAACTAACTAACTAACTAACTAACTAACTAACTAACTAACTAACTAACTAACTAACTAACTAACTAACTAACTAACTAACTAACTAACTAACTAACTAACTAACTAACTAACTAACTAACTAACTAACTAACTAACTAACTAACTAACTAACTAACTAACTAACTAACTAACTAACTAACTAACTAACTAACTAACTAACTAACTAACTAACTAACTAACTAACTAACTAACTAACTAACTAACTAACTAACTAACTAACTAACTAACTAACTAACTAACTAACTAACTAACTAACTAACTAACTAACTAACTAACTAACTACTAACTAACTAACTAACTAACTAACTAACTAACTAACTACTAACTAACTAACTAACTAACTAACTAACTAACTAACTAACTAACTAACTAACTAACTAACTAACTAACTAACTAACTAACTAACTAACTAACTAACTACTAACTAACTAACTAACTAACTAACTAACTAACTAACTAACTAACTAACTACTAACTAACTAACTAACTAACTAACTAACTAACTAACTAACTAACTAACTAACTAACTAACTAACTAACTAACTAACTAACTAACTAACTAACTAACTAACTAACTAACTAACTAACTAACTAAACTAACTAACTAACTAACTAACTAACTAACTAACTACCTAACTAACTAACTAACTAACTAACTAAACTAACTAACTAACTAACTAACTAACTAACTAACTAACTAACTAACTAACTAACTAACTAACTAACTAACTAACTAACTAACTAACTAACTAACTAACTAACTAACTAACTAACTAACTAACTAACTAACTAACTAACTAACTAACTGAATTTTACATTTTATATAAAATTTTCAATTTCATACAAAAATTTTAATTTCATACAAAATATTCTATTTTATACAAAATTTTCAATTTTATACATAACTTTCAATATTATAAAAAACTTTAAATTTTATACAAAATTTTATATTTTATACAAAATTTCAAAAT